ATGGCCATGGTTACGTATAACCAGGCCATCTGAACTCAAGACAATAATGGATCCATTGTTTGCAAAACACTGCAAGACAGGCATTGAAAAATACATTTGCGCTGAAAGCTGCTGATGGACGGTTGGATCCAGGAGTGGAAATAATGGCAGAAAGCAATTTCAGTGATTATAAAGTGATTATAAAGCTGCCTTACAACACTCTCCCTGCACTGAGTGCAACCCATCCACCTGCAAGCAGGAGCTCAGGGCTGGCAGAGCCGTGCACGGAGGGGATGCCGTCTGTGCTGCAGTGCAGGTGAACTGTTGAGCGCTTTGGAAATTTCCAGCCTGGCACTGCTTCCCATGCAAAGCTCCATCCCGTTCTCCTGGGTCGGATATTCTGCACGCAGATCCTAATTTGGACTGCGGCTCTGGAAAACTTGATTAGAGCTGTGAAAATGGAATTTTTATTAGGGACAGCTGAGCTTCTGCCAAGGTTTATTTTTCAAGGGAGTAGGACCTAATCCTCGAAGTCGTTCCAGGGCTGTGCTATTCTGGATGCCCTCGTGATGGTTTATGGCAATTACGCAGCCAGACCTGGCCCGACGGGTAATGTTTGCTTTGGACAAGTTGCTGCAGATGGCAAGCGACTGCAAATGTACTTTTCAGCCCAGCACGGGCATCACTGAAAATGCATTTTTTCCTAAGCTGTTTCTTTTTTTCTTCATTTTACACATTATCACTGCGGTGCCAAATCCACATTACCTAAAAAGCATTTAAAGAGAATACAGAACATTGTATGGGTGCTGGGACAGAAGCCTGCTGGGTGCAATCATTGCATAGATAAGTGATGCCAGGAGATCAATTTCTGCCCAATCAAACCTGAACCTCTGTTTAGGTGATGCTTTTCAGGGAGCAGCATGGAAACCCACAGGCTCAGAGCAGCCCTCTGGAGGGGCTTCACCCCTCCCAGCAAGCAGCAGCCAGACGAAACCAAGCTGTAAACCCAGGAATGCATGGGAAAGGAGCAAATTAAGACGTGCTATACTTGGCAGGTTGCTTTGCAAGCGTAGCACTTGGGAAAGGTGACATTAACGGCCCCAGCAGCTGAAGGCTGCCTTCTTCCAGAGCTGGGGCAGCAGAAGCAAAGGATTCCCAGAAAGCACTCCTTCCTCTCCTTACTCCTCGGGTGCAGGAGCTGCAGTGGCACAGCCCTTTGCTCACTGGTAGCAATTAGCACTGATTCATAGCAATGGCAGAGGGGCGGCTGTAGGCAGTCAGACTGCAGGGTCATCACTGCTGCCCCAGCGCTGAGGCTGAGGAGCATCTCTCTGCCAAACGCCCGCACGGTGGCAACAGTGGCTCAGTTCCACAGGAAAATAATGAGAGTTCATTTGTTAGTGTCAAATTCCACCGCTGGATGTGCATGCCCAGCTCATAGGGCCCCAGTGAGAGCCCTGCTTTGAAGTGGGGCTGGTGGCACCAGGTGCAAAATATTTGGGAGGAGAGCTCACGTGCATGCAGAGCCGGGGCCACAGCTTCGTTAGGAGCTGGGAGGAGATGAAAGGAAGGAGTTTGGAGCATAAAAAGATGATAGTAAAGGGGGAGAGAACGATGGGGAGAAAGCTGCAGTGTTCACTTAGCCACGTGAGCATAGATGTGGGATTTATGCAACTGCGCACCGTCCTCTCAGCCATGTCATACAGAAAGCCTCCTTAGCACCCAGACCTCCGTCAGCCTAATTAAAGCCAGAGCTGATTGCATGCAGGCACTGCAGCTGCTCACCTGCAGCTCCTTCCCTGACCCACCTGAATGAACCCCAAAGAGAGCAGCTACACACTGCACTAATAACCCAAACACTCAGGCTGAGGGCAGCAGGGCCTCCAGCCAGGCAGCAATCAGATTTCAGGGATTTTTCCCCAAAAAAGGCTATGGAGGTGCAAAGAAAGGGATGGGCCATCTCACTGCTGCTGCCCATACCACATGGGATGCACAGAGAGGAAGGAGCCCACAGCAGGGCCTGGAGCCAGGCAAATTTGGGGGCCCCTCCCAACCCAAGGTTCTCTGTAGCTTGTCCTATGGATCTCACACACCTCTCCCTCGCAGCCAAACACAGCTGTGACCCAACAGACAGAAGAGGTGATTATTTTTCCTTCTTTATCACCAACAGCAAGTAGAAGCCAAAAAAACAAGAGCCACATAAAATACAAGTGAATACTTTTTAGACCCTTACTGGTGAATTGTGGGTACATAACACTGTGACTTTCCGAGCCAACCTATCTTTTGCTTGTTGCTGGAATCTAAATAGTGCTCAAGGAGCATTTCCTCACTTCTAACTTGAGTTAGAGAGCAGCACTGCTTCTCAGACCACTCCATCAGTCTGATGATGCCCAAGATGTTTGCAAAAGCAGAGCCTGTCCTTGCATTATGACAGAGCATCTTAAACTATCTCTAACAGTGCCACTGATGAGCTCCCGGCACAGGGTCGGTGACCCACCCCCACCTGACATCATTATTTTAAGTTATACACTATTCCAACTCCATCAGCTCCCTCTGCTCGGAGCTGTGGGATCAGAGGACACAGGAGGGTGAGCCCCATATCCCCAGTTGCTTTCCAGACCTAAAATCCCAAACTTCAGCATGGACTAAGCATGTCTGTGCACCAGACTGCATCCTCAAGGGGTAATTTGGGAGTTCCCATAAGAGTTGCACAGCTGAAGCCCATCTGGGCGTGGGGGGAACACCATCTCCTGGCATCTTACAGAGCCGACCCCGCTGCACACTCAGGTGCTGCACATTGCACATGCCATTACATCCAACTTCAGCACAACAGCTTGGAGCACATCTCAGGACCAGCAGCTGAGCCCCAACCAGCCACTGCGATTTTGAGATGTTTTGGGGGTGTCTGATATTTGCATCCCCTCCAAAAGCAGCTTTGCAAAACATCTTCCAACCGAGAGGTGACACAGCAACAAAGCCCAGAGCAGACACTGCACTGTCACCACCCCCAGACAAGGTCTGCATGCAGCCCTCAGTGCAAGAGGGAGCAGCATATGGGGAGAAGCATTGGCCAGGCTGGAGGTCTGCTGCTCAGCTCCTTGGAGCTGCTCTGCCACTGGCCTGAAAGAACGACTCCATCAGCTGCAGCACACAGACCTTCTGCTTCCCCCAGTTCGAATTCATCACAGGCTCAAGTACAGGCACTCCAGGCTTTTTCCTGCTTTAATTATTTAAAAATCCTAACTCTGCCTGTTTATTTTCGTGGGCTATTACTGCTTTCAACTATTTTAAGACTGAAAAAAAAAAAAAAAAAATTTGAAGCCTCTCCCTCATTGTGCTGCTGAAGTTTAATTCACTCTAATTATTTCATATTACTTAGACTATAATAGTTTCATAATTTCTAGTATATTAAGCACTTAATACGTTGTGTCATTTGATGTCGCATATTAAATTCAGCAAAGTACATTTTAATGAGAGCTAAGTAGTGTGAAAATATTAATACAAGACAAGGAGTGGGTTTTGCACCCACGCTGCTGGGAGACGTGCGGGGCAGGTGAGCGCTGGCACGGTCCAAGCAGCCTGCTATGGAGAGAGAGAGACTGGGAGGGGTGGGCATGGTGATGGGATGGCAGTGGGGTCCCCTCTGGGTTGCAGGAGCTCCTTGGGGTGTGATGGCACTGCCCAGAGTGCTGCCAGCACTGCCTTGTGCTTCTCCCCAGGGACAGAGGCCCAGGTCAGGTTCCTCCATAGGGTCACTTTGTGCCACATCTCAAGGGACCCACAGCAACCCAACCTGAGAGTGGCAAAAGAAAGCGGGCAGTGCAAGATGCTGCAGTCTGCAGAGAGTCCCAACTACAACCCCCACAAGCTGACAGCCTCTCAGCCTGCAAAGCCCGATTCTAACTTCTTATCAAAGCTTTCAAAGCTCCTCCAATCTCTGCACCCTTTCCGTGCCCAACAGGAAAACCCCTCCCCAATGGGCTCACCTGCATCCAGGTGAGATGCCAGCAAGGTCACGCACTGCAACTCAACCGATATCCCTAAAGGAACCACAAGACTGCTCCTGAGAGCAAAAGCAAAGCTCCAGAACAGAGGGGAACCCGGGGGTAGGGGCAGTGCCCGTTTATACGTCCCTTCCCCCCCCCTCCCCCCAGGTGCTGGCGATCCGCTCCCACCCCGCATAACTGAGCCCAACCTCGGGGTGAGGCACCACCTGGAGCCGTGCGGGGTTCGGGCAGCCGCTGCCCCGACGGGTTGGTGGGGGGGGGGGGAAGAAGCTGCACCTCCGGCTGCTCCCACGCGGTGGCGGCCGAGGCCGCAAAACTGCTCCGCTTCTCTCACGAACGAGTGCCGGCGGCTGAGCGCGGCCGCTCCGCGCTCGGGGGTGCGCGCCCCGCCGGAACGGACATTACGCAGCTTTCCCCGGGCTGTCGGGGCATCCCACGGGCCCAGCGCTGTACCCGCAGCCCGGACAGCCCTCTGTCCGAGATGCAGCTCCGTCCCAAACGCTCTCGCCCCGCCCCAGCCGCGCAGCCCCCCCGGGCCGCCCCCGGCGCGCTGCCGTCGGGTGTCCCGCAGAGATGCGGCGCTGGGGATGGAAGCGGGAATTTCGGCTATAAGGTGCGCAAACTCCCTCCCAGCCCGCTCCCGGAGCTCATTAATGTGATACTTTCATGTGTGAAACGAGCATATAAATGGGCATTAATGAGCTCCCGGCTGCGGTGCGGGGGAGGAGAAGGGAGCGGGGAACTGCGTGGGGTGCGGGCGGCTGCAGCGAAGGCACCTCGGGCTGTGCGCCCCGAGGGGGCGGCCCGCAGCGATCAACCCCTCCCAAACCCCCCCCGCACGGAGCAGGCGGTGCTTAAAGTCGGCTTTTATTAAAGAACCAAAATCCCGTACAGAGGTGGTGCCCCCCCGGAGTCGCGAACCGCCCGTTAAAGTGCTGTCACATCCAGAAATGTACGGGAGGGTGTAGGGGGGGGTTGAGGCAGGAGGGGGCCCGAGGGAGGATGGGGGGGAGGGGGGAAATAAATATACATCATAAATAAATAAAAATCCAACAAATACTGTACCAAGAGAATCACAGTACATTTATATCCATTGCACATAGCCACGTTTGTTTCCAGTCTGGACGAGGGCGGAAGAAGCGGACACACAGGGAGGGGGGGGAGGACGCGGAGCGGGGTGGGGGGCCCGGGGGGGTCCCGCCCTATTGCCAGTCCGAGAGGGCCGAGCTCCGAGTCCCCTTATGTACACGTGGCTCCTCGTGGAAATGGCTTTGCGTGGGCTCTGCCCTGGGCTGCGGCGCGCCGCGGGGCGCATGGCTTCGGGGGGGGGAATGGAGAGGGTCCGGGGGGGGTCACTGGGGCAGCAGCGGCGGTTTGAAGGAGCAATTCCCCGTGCAGTGCCGCGGGGTCAGCATCTTGCAGGAGAAGTGATGCAGCGCGTCGTGGGCCTCTGCAAAGCGACGTCGCCGTCAGCCCCGGCCCCACCGACGGAGGAAGGGGGGGGGGTTCTGACTCCGCGTTGTACGGCTGAATCCCCCCTCCTGCCTCGGTACCTTTCAGTTTCTGTTGGATGGCGTAGCGCGCTTTCCTCTCCTGGTCCAGCTCGTTGCACAGCGTGTCTGGAGCGGGGAGAAGAGCATCAAAATGAGCCGGGGGCGATCCGGGAGCGGCCGCCCGTCGAAGGGAGCGGGTAAAGGGAAAGAGGAATTGGCGAGGAATGTCACTCCTCGGCCGGGGACCTAACGAGGGGGGAGGGGGGGGGAGAAGGGGCAGCTCCCGTGGGTGGCTCGGGTGTAAAAGTACAATGAAATAACGCAAGGAAATAATAAAACGCGATCATAAAAATAAAAGAAGAAAAAGATTGAGAGAATACAAAGAATAAAAGAATAAAAAGAATCAAAGAAATAAAAAGAAATAAAACTAATGAAATATTCAAAAAATAATAATAAGACCAATAAAAGGCATGGGAAAAAAAAATAATAATAACCGAAACAATTAAATGAAACGAAACAGGAAGGAAAGAATCGCGACGGGACGCGGCCGGGCCGCACCTCGGACGATCTGCAGCTGCTGCACCATCTCCTCGCGGTACGCCAGCTCCCTCTTCATCTGGTCCTGGAAGTTATCTGCGGGCACAGCGCGGTCAGTGCCGCCCCGCCCGGCCCCGGCCGCAAGGAGGGGCTCCCCCGGTACCTTTCAGGCTCTGGAAGTCCCTCTCCAATTTCTTCCTCAGCTCCATTTGCTCCAGGACGAGTTTTTGCAGTTCGTCTGTTGAAAAACACGCGGCGGGGTTTTGGGGGGAGCGCGAGCTTTTCCATATGGAGCGGCTCAGCGCGGCGCTAATCGCATTACATTGCATTAATCACAGGAGTTAATCACTCCTGCGGAAAGCACAAAGACCTCGAGCCGCGATGGGGGGTCTGGGGGTCGGGGGGTTCCCCTCCCGTCGGGTCCCGCAGCGGCCGCCCCCTCTCACCTCGGGCCAAGTTCTCGATGTCCTTTTCCACCAACTGCGTCCCCGCCACCTCCATGCCGAGCTCTTCTCCTGCGTTGGTTTATTATTGTTGTTTTTATTTCGGAGAGGAGCGCGGAGCTCCGTCCGCGCCGTCGGGGGAAGCGGGGGGGTGGGGGTGGAAGGGTGTTGGGCGGCCGCGCAGCGCCCCGCGGTGAGGACTTACCTCTGTCAGTATTTACAGGGCTGGGATGCGAGACGCTCCTTTGGTCCTGATAGGATTTTCTAGTCTCTAAATCCTCTGCTGTCGAGTGATTGTCTTCTTTATCTTGCTCTTAAAGTTAATAAACCGATTTTCAACCGTAAGCAATGAAAGTATGGTCCTGATATATCCTTAATTACATAATTAAGGACAAAGCCCTCGTTAAAACCTTCTTAGAGGACATCCTAATCGCTTTGCCGTTGGAAAGTAGCTTGCTGGCAGCTTTGCCCCATCGGGCGGCCCCCTCCCCCCCCCGCCCCGAGCCTTCCCGACGGCCGCTCCGGTGGCATCCCCAGATCCTGCGTGCTCCTCGGCCCGTCCCCTCTCCAAAATCCGTTCGCTGTCTTTTTTTTTCTCCCGAAAGCCGCCGAACGAAAGCGGCGTTCCGGAGGCCCCCGTCGGGTCCGTGCTGTGCCCGATCCCCCCCTCACCCCCGCGGTGCGATTTACCCTTCGCTTCAGGGGTGCAGAGGAAGGCGGCTCCCAAGGACGCGGCGGCTTTCAGAGGCTGCAGGTGCTCCCCCCGCTCCGGCGCGTACACCTACAAAACAGCGGGTCAGGGCGCGGGGCCGACCCCGAGGTGCCCCCCGGCCCCGGCCCCGCACCTCGTAGGCGCCGCCGTTGCTGTTCCGCTCGGGGCTGCCGTCGGGGCCCCGGGTCCCCTCCTCCGCCGCCCCCTCGCCCCCTTTCTCCTCCGGCCCCTCCGCCGCGGGGAGCGGCTCCTCGGGCGCGGGCAGCAGTCGGGGCGGCGGCGGCTCTCGCTCCTCTGCGGGAGCGGCGGTCTCCTCCTCGTCGTCCTCGGGGAAGCGGTTGGATTCCACGTCCACCTCGGGCTCCTCGGCCGTGTCCCCCCCGGGGGACAGCGAGCGGTAGCTGGAGCTGCCCTCGCTGAGAAAGTCCGGCGAGAGGTAGCCGGGCGCTCGGGCCGCCGCCCCGCCGTACGCCTCGCGGGTGCCGTAGAGCTTGGCGATGCTCTCGGTGTCCTTCACCACCGGGCGGAAGGCGGACAGGTAGCTGCCCTTCCTGGGCAGGGGCAGCGGGCCCAGCAGGGCCTCGTCGCCGGAGCGCTCCTCTTCGCCGGCCGCCCTGGACAGCGCGCTGGGACAGCGCTCTCCGTCCGCCCCGGAGCCTTCCTGGGGCGTCGCGCTGCTCCGCCCGCTGCCCGACGGCTCGGAGCCCTCCAGCTCGCCGTGCCGCCCCGACGGCTCCGCCGCCGCCGCCGCAGCCGCCGCCGCCGCCGCCACCACCACGGCCGTGGCCGCCGCTTTGGCCTGGCTCTGCGCCGGGTAGGGCGGCACGGGGAGGCTGCCGGCCGCCGGCCAGAACATGGGGAACGAGGGGTACACGGCCGCGTCCTTGGCGGCGCCGGGCTGGTGGGGCGGCTGGGCCGGCTGCGGGGGGTGCGGGGGTCCCCAGAACATCCCCGAAGGCAGCGCGCCGCCTTTCCCCGCCTCGCCGCCCCCCGCCCCGCCCAGCGCGTCCTCCTGCTTCTTGGGGCAGAGTCCGAAAGCGGCGGCCGGGAAGCCGTAAGGATGCGGGAAGAGCGGCGGCGGCAGCTTCTGCAGCATCCCGAAGCCTTTGCTGGGCACCGGGATCACCGGGTAGCTCCGCACAGCTCCGGCCCCGCCGTGCCCCCCCGCCGCCCCGCCGTGCCCCGACGGCAGCCCCAGCGCTCCCCGCTCCCCCGGCGCCTCCTGCCCGCCGCAGCGGAGGCTCTTGTGCGCGGGGGGCAGCTCGGGGCCGGCGGGCGGCGGGGGGTGCAGCGGGGCCTTGGCGGCGGGAGAGCCCCCCCCGGGACCGCCCCCGGCCGCGCCCTGCAGGGAGAAGGTCCGCTTGCGGGTGCCGCCGTTGAACATGGCCTTGACATCCTCCCAGGCGTGCGACAGCTCCTCGGTGGCCGTCTTGTCGCTGAGCTTGAGGTGGCGGCGCCACGAGTTGAAGTTGGCGGCGTCGGGCTGCGTGTATTTGGAGTCCGGGGTGCGGTGCGAGTGGAAGATGAACTTGTTGGGGGAGAAGTACATGCTGCAGTAGCTGCACTTGATGCACTTGGCGCGGGAGCTGTTGTAGCGGGCGGGGATGAAGCTGCCCCGCGAGCCCCAGGCGCACTCGTGCACCACGTCGAAGGCGAAGTTCTCGGGCAGCTTGGGCGGCTTGTGCTCGCCCAGGAAGGACTTGCAGAGCCGCTCGGCCTCCCGCTTGGTGATCATGCCGCAGCGGCGCGACGAGATGGGCATGGCCCCGGCCCGCCGCAGGATCTCCAGCTGCACGGGCGTGCACTGCACGCAGGTGATGCCCAGGGCCACGCGCCGGTTGTGGATCTCATTGTAGCTGTAGTTCTTGAGCAGAGTGTTGGAGATCTGCGCCAGGCACAGCCGCTCCTGCCCGTCGATGACCAGGGACACGATGGGCACTCCGTACAGAGAGGTCTCACCCACTTGGTTGGGCTTCAGGGTATTGGAGCCCTGGTACGGCTGCAGCTCTTGCTTTGAATTTGGGGAGGAGCTTGCATCTCTCCCGTTTCCCAGCTGACTGCCGATCGCCTCCATTCCCCCCGAAAACGCCCCTGCAAAACAAAATAGCGGCGAAAGGCGTCGGTGAGGAGAGCTCCGGGGGCCCCTCCGGTCCTCCCCCCGCTCCCCGGCCCTCAGCACCGGGCGCAGCAGCGGGGACGTTCCCGGCTGCGGCCCCGGAGGGCTCCGCGCAGCCCCGCACCGCACCGCCGCTCCGCAGCTGCGGCCAAGGGCGTCCGAACCGGAGATGGGATGGGGATGGCGATCAGGGTGGGGACGAGGACGGGAACGGGGATGGAGATGGGGAGGGGGACGGGGGGGACACCGGTCTCTTTGTGCCATACCCCAACGCACCGCACCGAAGGGAGCGCGGAGCGGCTCCGGCCGGGCCGAAACTTGGAGCCGGGGCCCTGCAGCCGAGCGTCCCCGGGAGGCGATTAGGGGCGGGGAGGGGGATTATAGGGGCCGGGGCGGGCAGCCCCCGCCGCACGTAGCAGCAGGGAAGCGAGCGAGGCAAATTGGCTTAGCGAGGAGGGTTGTAAGCGGCTTCCGCGCTCGGCTCACGAAAGAACCGGGGAACCGCTCCCCAAATCGCTCCCCCGCGCCGCCCCGCGCCGCCCCGCACCGCCATCACTTACCGCGGCGCGGAGCCTGGATGGACGTGCGAGCGGCCCGCGCTCCTCGGGGTTAAGGGCCGCCGCTCATCCGCCGCCCCGGGGCCGCTCATCCGCCGCCGGGCGCAGTGCGGGCCCCCCCGGCCCCCTCCTCCCCGCGGTGCGGTGCGGGCGTTCAGCGGTGCTGCGGGGCGGCCGCTTCCTCCGTGTCCGCCCGGGCGCGATGCAACAAGAGCGAGTGGGCAACCGCGCCGCCGAGGGAGGATCCGGATCCGTACTTGGAGCCGCCGCACATTGATCCGGTGACAGCTAAAATAACGGGAAGACACACCCACTTAGCACCAGCATATTTACATTAACTGCCTCCGGGACCCCGCGGCCGTCAATCACCGATGCGCTCCGCTCAATCACGGCGCGGCTTTAAGGCACAGCGGAGCGGGGCGGGGGGGCTCGGGGGGCCGCCAGCGAGCGGGGACCCGCCCGGGTCTGCCCGAGGTAAGAGCGGGGATCCGCAGCTCTCCGCGCATCTCTTCTCCTCTCCGCGCATTTCCCCGCGTCCCTCCGCGTTTCGGCCCGCGCCGCCCCCCGGGGTTCGTTGTAACGTACCGGTGGGAGCGGGATGCAACGAAAACCCTCCTCCCCGGGGGGGTCACCTCTAGGGCCCCAACGAATCTTCCCCTTCCTTCTCACCGCCGTTTCCCCCTTCCTCCGTAACCGGGATGAGAGCTCCGCCCGGGGGGTGAGGATGCGCGGATGGGGGACAGAAGGGCGGTAACGAAATCGCCGGGAGGAGGCGGATGGGGGGGCGACAGCCGCGGTTTTTCGTTCGCTCCGGGGGTCCCCTCCACGCCGGCGGGACCGGAGGCCGTAGGAATGGGGGTACCGCTCCGGTGGCCTTCGGTCCTGCCGGCGTGGAAGGGCCCCCCCCGGCTCCACATCCCCGCCCTGGGTGGGTTGGTCACGGCCACATTAATTAAACTGTAATTAATCATCATGTCCGGCCGCGATCGGCGCAATTACACTGATCAAACAGAAGTTAATAACGGCGCGCATCGCCCCCGGCTATCGCTTTTATAGATATATATTTATCTCTCGATATTATTGTTTATTATTTATGATTATTTTATAATCCCGCTGCCGAGAGGATGCGGTGCGGAGAGAAACGCGGCCGCGGAGCCGATCCCGGCGCTGCGTCCCCGCGGTGAGGCCGCTCCGCACAGCCCGAAGGCGGCTGCGGGTCCCCGCAATTTGGGTGCGGGACGCCCCGTCGGGGCGGGGCGGGGAGAGAAGCCAAAGGTTGGGAGCTGCGGGCTCGGCCTTCCCGCAATGACTGCAACACGAGCCGGTAATTATCCCTCTTTTTTTTTTTTTTAAGTTATTTATCCCCGCTCCTCCTCCAGCCGGGAGTGAGTGAGACCCTCCGGCGCTGCCACATCTTCTCACCGCTTATTTTCGTGTTTGCGGGGTGGGCTCACGGCTGGGGGTCAAACGCGCGGTACCCACGGAGCCGCTCCGCTTCTCTGTGCCACCGCCGGCCGCAGCCCGACGCCCCATCCGCACCGGGGCGATCGCACGTCGGGGGGCTCCGAGGGGCTCAAATCCGCGCCTCCACCGCGTCCCCCTCCGCCGTCCCCGCGACCCGCAGCACCGCACCGCACCGCACCGCACCGCTCCGACAGCGCGGAACGGCCGCGGCCCCTCCGCTCCTCGCCTCCTCCGTTATCTTCGAACAGTTGAATTGACTGCAGTTTTTGTCAGTTAATTAGGTTTAATTTACATAATTAGTACAGTATAAAGAGTATTGGGGATAATCAGGAGGTACGTCTCGCTTACTGTGTAAACACGGATTCGGAATTAAAAATCAGATGTAATTAAGGCGTGTGCGCGCGGCTTTTAATTGTAATGAATTTCTAATTAACGCTCAACGATCGCCGCACGCGGGAGCGGGGACGTTTGCGGGGCTCCCCCGACCCCCCCCCACCCACGGGGCTGCGCGGTGCGGGGCGGTGCGGGGCGCCCCGACGGGACCCGCGGGCGGTGCTGCTCCCGGCTGAGCCCGGCGGATAATTTCGGTTAAAACTTATGGAGCCGTGGCACGGGGGGGTGGGGGTGGGGATAAATAAATAACCGCCCGGAGACGGCCGCGGAAGGGCCCTCTCTGCCTCTCCCTTTCCCTCCTGGAGGGCTGTGCCGAGATTGCCACATAAATCACGGCGGTCTAATTCAGTGGAAGTTTAATAAACGCCTCCTATTGGAAATGAATGTTCCCCATTTAACAGTTGTATCAGCACCATATAAAACCATGACCCCAATAAATTTAATTTTAGAGGCCGATCAATCCGGGCTTCTCTCCATCGATCCGCAGCGGCTCTGCGTTTACGGCCCCTTCCGCGGCCCTTCGCAGGGAGCGGGGGGGGCGGGGGGGAGAAGGAGCGCTTCGATCACACTCTTTATTAGGAAAAGATTGCTCCGAGAGGCCTGAAAATTAAACGGTGACATTTTAATTACTGGACATTGACAAAGGAAGCGGGCGGCGGCTCTCTGCGGGCCGGCAGCGCTGCGCCCGCCCCGACGTGCGGAGCGCCCGCGGGTGCGCAGAGATACGCAGAGCGGTGAACGGAGCCCCGGGGCCTTTTCCCGGTGCCTCCGTGTGCCCCCCCGGCTGTGTCTCACGAATGCCACTCCTGTGCTCCCCAAGCTCCATGCATCCCCACTCCGTTCCCCCCCTTCTCATCCCCGCCATCACCCCTCCACCTGCTCTCCACATTACCCCTCACCCTTCTCCCCCCCCGTTACCTCCCAGCCCAATTCAGCCCCATCCCGCCCGGCCCGGTGTAGGAGCTGTGGGGGCTGCGGAGGAACGCAGCGCTGACGATCGATGCCCACAGTTTATCGATGAGGTTAAAGCAGCGCCGCGCACCCGGGGCAGCAATTAGAGGCGCTTCGTCCCCGAGCCGAACCGAACCGGGCCGTGCCGAACCTGCCAGCACCCCGACCCGCAGCTCTGCTCCCACCGCGAGTTGTTCTCCTCCCGCCATCCGTCGCCCGGGCCGACAAACCTTGACCTTCCCGCAGGACGAGGGGTTCGGTAGAGCCGCAGAGCTGCGGGAGCGGGGAAAGCTGAGCCCATCCATCCGTTCCCAGCGCGTTCCGGCTGTGCCCCCCCCGAAGGGAGCGCCGCTCCGGTCAGCGCAGCTCCGCGCACTGCGGCTTTCGACGGGGATCGGCGCGCACCTTCGAGCTTTTTATTTTTGCCTTCTTTCTATTTCCGCCTGCCCAAAATATCTGAACGTATCGAGTGGTTTTATTTATTTATTTATTTATTTTCTTTCTTTCTTTTTTTTTTTAATTATCATTTTGAGTTTTTTTTTTTTTTTTTTTTTTCCCCAGAGCTCTCACCGGGCAGCCCAGAACTGCAGCACCTCGAGCAGCGCTCGGCTCAGCCCATCCCGCTGCTTGGTGCCCCGTGGGGGCCGCAGCCCCGGGCTAATGGTCCCCACTGAAGGCGGAGAATGGGGTTCCCAAAAACAACCGCTGGGACTCCAGACCCCTCTGTCACGGGGTGCAGCACTGCTGCTCTGCGGGCGCTGTGGTGTTTGGGGTTCGGGTTGGTCCTGCCCGGGGGGGAGCTGTGTAGGGTGGAAGGACAAGGAGGAGCAGGCAGAAGTTAGCTGTAGGGATGTGGGTGGCTGTGGCAAGCCGCCTGCAAACAGCCCCGCACAGCATCAGAAGCTTCTGAGCGCCTTTCAGAAAAGTGGGATCCTGAGCGCCTTGCTTTGCAGCTCCCAAAGATCTGGGGCGGCTCCCGGGGTTTGCTTCACCCCCGGTCCCACCTCCCTGCATCAGAGAGGCAGAGGGAGCTCCCTGCGCTCAGCCCCGTCCCTTGGCAGCCCTCAGCCCCACCTTCCCTGCGGGACCGCGGAGCCCCCGCGCTGCTCGCAGGGTCAGTGCCGGCTCCTGGACGGCGGAGGAGCACACGGAGCCCCTCGGAGCTGCTCCACGTGTCGGTGGAGCTGTGCGGTCGGTGGCCGCTGTTTGTCCCTGTCCGGTACAAGGGACACGTTGGGACCGCGCAGTACTCCAAGCCGCCTCCTGCTGCAGTTCTCACTTTCTGCTTTTATTTTTTGCCAGATGTCTGCGCGCACAAACACACACACACACACACACACACACGGAGCTTTTCAGGCTGTTGGTGAGAAAACAAAGAGTGACACTTCGCCTTTGGAAAGCTGGCAGCGGGATGCACGCGGGCACGGGACGCAAGAAACTAAAGGTGTTCCGTGCTGCCCCGGGCTCGTGGGATGAGCAAAGGTCACGGGCAGAGGAAAGCTGAACGCATTCCAAATCCTGCACAGACTTCACACCCGCACGGTGGTTCGTCGCAGAGCCTGGGAGCTCCTGCGTGCGCCCACATCCACGCAGGGCGCTCATCCACGCTCCGCTGCTGCTCACCACGCACCGCCCCGCGCTGCGGCTGAGCGGGACGCGGCTGCAGGGTGTAACGGGGCTGCGTTTTCTTCAAGCTTTCTGGCCAAGGAACGCCCCGATTCCGGCTTCAGAAAGCTGCAGCAGGGAGGAGCAGCCCCGGCCCCTGTGCATGGAGCCCGGATGCACCCCATCCCCGCGGTGGGCTTCGGGGAGCAGCGATCACAATCGGACCCCAGCCGGTGCATCGCTCCCCCTCAAGGCACAGCCTTGCTTCTACCGACTTCTTACCTAAACCCGAGGGAGAGACTTTTTAACCAGAGAAAGCCGATGCGAACCGCAGGAGATAAACAAACAGGCGAGCTGCCCGCGGTCCGCACGGCTCCAAGGGAAGAAATTTGTCTCACTTTAGAAAAAGGACCTGAAGGTATGGGGTCCTGTCGACTCATTCATTGCACTGTTATCTGCCGGGGAGGCGGTGACATCAGAGCAATTAAGATAAACTTTTAGTCTATAAGTTCATGCCTGCAACCCCTATACTTCAAAAGAAGATGAATGATCCCTCCAAGGAAGGAAGCAAAGTCTTTTCCAAAGGAATATTTACGATTTGCAGGGATTGGGGAGGAATTTTTCACTGTGTTTTTTTTTTTTTTTTTCCTTCTTAAAGCTGCTGGTATAGAATACACTACCTGAGCTTTTCTTATAGCAAAAGTTTATTTCTAATGCAAAAACGAGCAAAGGAAACCCCCACCCACCCCCCCTGCCCAAGCCGCAGCGGTGTGCAGTTTGCTGAGCAAACCCTCAGCTCCCACAGTGCCTTCTGCCCTCTGCTCCTCTGCTTTGCAGTGCCTTAACATACGGATTGATTGTGTGCCAAACGTACACAGGGATGGCAGGGACAGCAAACACACGCCAGAGATGCTGGAAGTGTTCCTGCTCCATTGGGAGCTCTGCACGATGGCAGTGAGTGCTGTGCCCCATCCCTGCCCATGGAGAACACGGGGTTTGGGGCAGGGACACCTGGCACAGCGTTCCACCCCACTCCCTCCCCTGCTCACACCGTGCCCCACATCAGTGGCACTGCTGTTGCGTGCCTGGGGCTGCTGTGTGCTCCCAGCCATGGGGAGATGAGCCACTAACTGTGACTATCAGTGAAACCACAGCCTGAGGGCACGCAGCACTGTCCCTCAGCACAGGCTCTGTCCCCGAGATGGGATGCAGCCTGGCATGGCAGTAGCACTGCACACCACCTGCCATCCAAGGACACCACGGCCAATGCTCCTGCAATGCTTGTATTGCAGCGGGGTGATTGCCTCTTCCCAGGATGAGCAACTCCACACCCTTCCTTCATCTTCCTTTTTTTTTTTTTCCTTAAAAATACCAAACCCATTTCAAACAGATGTTTTGTGGATGTCCACACTCCCCAGACAGCCAACAGCTCCTCCTCCAGCCCTCGGAACAGCCTGCTGGTCAGCCGTACAATAGCAAAACTAACAGTTCAAAAATACTCTGGAGCCATGAAATATACAATACATTCAATAACAAAAAAATAGAGATATAAAATACTCGCTTTAAGGCTGTGTACAGTTTAACTGAAGATTAATTTGAGGACATTAAACGAGAGAAATGTGTGAAGGGAATTCCTTAACGTTTCTGCGCGGGAGGGAGGAAGGCAACAACAAACATCCCAAAAGATTTTGTTGCTTTTTAGCACAATATGACCCTGATGGGTGGGAGCCCAAAGCTCTGTCCCACGACCCAGCAGCTCACGGTGCGCCCTGCGCCGAGCGCCGCTCCTCCAACGTCCTGCACACCCACATGGAAACCACCTCTGCATGGCCGTCGTTGTACTGCACGATGAACGGGTGGCCCTGCAAATGGGACAGGAAGGGTTAGCCAACAGACACAGCTCTCCCTGAGAGAGTTTATCTCATTCACGTTTTAGAAAAAATACGTTGGAAAATCCTGTGGTTGCAATGAAAATGGGATTCCAATCAGTGAACTTTCAGTTGGATGTATATTATTCATCATTTATATAGAAAAGAGGAGGCTGGAGGACTCCAAACTCTTCACTGAAGTACTGACCCACATGTTTGTAAAGGTCCACAATCTCTTAATTTTCTCCCTTTAATAGCCCCTTTGTGTGACTCTAACATAATATCACAACCCAACCCAACCCAACCTGAACTAACTCAATGCAACATAACCCAACCCAACCCAACCCAACCCAACCCAACACAACCCAACCCAACCTGAACTAACTCAATGCAACATAACCCAACACAACACAACCCAACACAACTCAACCCAATCCAACCTGAACTAACTCAATCCAACATAACCCAACTCAACCCAACATAACCCAACCCAACCCAACACAATCCAACATAATCCAACCCAACCCAGCACAACCCAACCCAACCCAACACAACCCAACATAAGCCAACCCAATCCAACATCATCCAACCTAACCCAATCCGACTCAACTCAACCTAATGCAACCCAACCCAACATAATCCAATCCAACCCTCTGTCTAAAGGAAATTGTCCAACTGGATTACACTCCAAAATGCTTCCCCTGCATAGGGGCATGGTCTGAATCATGCCACCATGAACACACACACACATGAACACAATGCCATGTACACATATATTTGCACCTTTGACCTGAGTCAGTACAAACCCCACACCTTACCCTGTGTGCACCCCTCACTCTTAGGGTTGTATGAATCACACAGAAAATGCCACGTCCCTCCAAGTGTTACGTTGCAGCTGCAGCAGGACGTGAGTGGCATGTGGCCTCTGGAGCCATCACTTGACATAGAAACTGAAAGCTCACCTATGCATAACTCCAATAGGCCTTCATGAGAAGCCACTGCGGGAACTAACGTATGATGGAAAGAGGGATGGCTGTACAACACACTGCCCCATGGAATCGTAGGGCTGCTACAGGCTGAGACACCTCAGAAAATCAGAACAGGAATACAGCGTGCAGTTTCAGCAGCCAGCTTAGGCAGCTCAATCTGGCCCCATTCCTAGAGATGGGAACATGCCATCTTCGGATGAATCTCAAATGAAGTATAAAAATCCACAGGAAACCAAGTACCGCAATTACATAAATGGCTGAAAGAAAGCAATCGCCAGGAGAAACCATCACAGATGATGAAAACCTCTCCTCCAAATCACTCAAAAGCAGCTCGGTTTTTGCAACACTAAACTTCACAGCTCTTGCAAACAGCGCCTGAAAGTAACCAGTGTTGATGTGGGGACCCTCGGGGACGGTGATGCAGTGCTGGCACAGCGGCGTTGGGCGCACTGTGCCTGGGATGCTGGGGTCAACAGAGCAGGATGGCACTGAGTGGAGCCATGAGGCAGCACCGGGCTGAACACAGCACCATAAATCCTGGCAGTGCCAGCTCAAAGCAATAAAACACTCTGCAGGCCAGGGCCAGAGAACAGAGGAGCTGCAGGGATAAAATACGTCATGATCTACACGATGGAGGGAGGAAGCGCGAGATGCTTCGACCCTCTGGGATGGCTGCATCCATGGGATGCCCTTCCATGGGCTTTGGGCAAAGGCAGTGCAAGGAATGGGCAATGCACAAGGCAGGGTGACCTCCACACACACACAGCAGAGCCCAGCCCAAATCCTTCATCCATCTCAGCTCTATGGGGTCCAGAGCTGCCTGGGTTAGCAGAGGTGCTGCAGGGCTCACTGCCTTGCAGAAGGACACCAGGATTGCTCTGTGCAATCCCTGGACAAGCAGGGCTGGCAGTCACTTGGTCTTTCTCTATTCTCACATCACAACCTCTTCTGTGCCATCCCAGTGGTACAAATGGGACTCCTCCACTGTGCAAATGGAGAAAGAACACAGTCAGAGGCAAGACTTTGCCAATGGACACATAAAGGTGAACTCAGTTATTGCTGGGAGACAGTTGTTCCCTTCAACTTCAGGAACTCATTCCCACAATGATGCACAGAACAAACATGGAGACACAAGAGCTTCCCGAAGTGAAGTCAGCTGCAGGAACTCGCTCTCCCTGCTCAGACTGTCAGTGCTTCCCACCAGGCTCAAGCCACAAGCACCGACCTTTATCTCAGGCCTCTGGAACTGAGCATCGCTCTCTGCCATTGCAATCGATCTTTCTAAATTTGCTCTTTGTAACTGCTGCAGAAATGGATATTTTCTTCCCCCAGTCCTCAATCTTTTTTTTCCTTTTTTATATTTCTTTTTGGGGAAGCAAATCGCTTCCTTTCAGCCGTTCTGGGCTGCGGAGAACAACTTCACATTTGTCAGAGCTCTGAATTTTGCACCCACGTGGACACACGTGAGCTCTGCTTGGGAAATGGCCACCGAGGAGCATCCCAGGGGTACCACAGCCCATCTGAGAGTCTGATGATGGCAGCAGCCAGCTCGATGCTACAGCAGAAGATGGATGAGCTTAAAATGATGCATTTGAGTACACAGATGCTCGCGGCACTGAGCATATGGACAATGTCTCTTCCCTCCCAACACCTGGCTATCAGAAATCTTTAGCTTTGGTCTTGAATGTCTAACATCAGGAACAATGCTACAGAAAGGCCACAAGTTATTTTGTATCCCCTCCTGCACACGCCCTGTGGGTTTAGTAAACAAACGCATTGTGAAATATTGCTGTTCTTTGAAATATTCCTTAATTCTGCCCATGGAAACCATTTGGAAGGAGCACAACCTGCACCCAAGGGACAGGATCCTGCAGATATTCCATGTACTTTCCAGCGTGACCTTCACAAAGCTGCAGAATCTCCCCCAGCATACGGTAAAAAGGGAATACATGGCTTCTGCTGCCTCACTGAGTGCTGAAAGAATCGGTGTGTTTTGCACAGCACCGTGGCATGGTGGGTGCAGAAGTGCACAGTAAGGTAAAGGCTTATTCTAAGCAACACAGCCTAGAGGTACCCGTCTGGCCCCTTAAACAAAAAAGCAGCCAAGGACACCAGTGAGAACTAGGGAGAAACAACGGAGCCCACAGACAAGGAAGAGCAGATGCATTGGGGCAATTAAAACGAAGCTATTAAAGACAGTCCGCTTCTCCCATGAATCTCCTTTACGATGGAGAGACTCCCTGCAGAGGAAGGCATCTCATGCCTGGTATATCCATGCAGTTCAGCTACTTCTAACATGCAGGGGAAGAATGCAGGCTGCGAGGTGTTTAAGATGTCAGTGAGCCATGTTGCTCACAGCCTCTGCTTTGTTTTCTGGGGTTACTCCATGGAGAACCCCACATTTTACACACTTTTCTTCCTAGAAAGAAGTTTAACTTGAAACCACTGTTTGGGTTTCTCTTGTTTTCCACTGCTCCAGAGAGGAATTTTCTCAGACTACAGTGCCAGTGGGCAGCCCCCAGTGTGCTCAGGTCAGGCACTGAGAACTAGGAGGGTGCACCAGGTCCATGCACAGCCTCAAATCAGCGCTGCTCCTGATACCCGGCCTCGTTCAGCAGCACCTTGCTGCTGCATCACACCTGCAACAAATGCACACAAAGAACAGTACAGAATTGTGGACAATGCATGAGCCCATCAGACCTGCCTTAGGCCCACTTGCAGCAACGTTTCATTGAATCACAGAATCACTAAGGTTGGAAAAGACCTCTGAGAAGACCAAACCTAACCCAATCCCACTGACCATGTCCCCAGGTGCCACATCTCCTTGGTTCTGGAGCACCCCTGGGATGGGGACCCACCACTCCCTGGGCAGCTGTGCTGTGCAGCACTGCTCTGAGAACGCATTTTTCCTAATATCCAACCTGAAATTATTGGCACGTTTTTATTGGCATGCTGTGCTCGTGCTCAGTCTTCTCCCCATACTTTGCACAAGTGCCCATGTGCATCAGGGTGGCTGGAACAAGATGATCCTAGAGGTCCCTCTCCCAACCCATTCTATGATTCTATCAACCCTCAGCACTGAACCCACGTGGCAACCAGCACAGCCAGGAGGCCCAGGCAGCAGGAAACACACCGAAAAGCCCCCAGAATGCCATCCCCCCCAGCTGGGGTCTGGCACGGCATGCAGCCACTGCTGTGAGAGGGGAAGCAGAGGAGCAGGAAAGGTCAGGCAGGACAGGGCTGCAGTGAGTGTCAGCCCACTTAATTTTGTGTGTCAACGCTGAAAATTAGATAAACAATGACAAACCAGGCTTTTTAAATGAACTTGTCTCATCTCGTTCCTTTGATAAAGGCTACGTTCCCTGCGCTGCAGTGTCCCACCAGACAGGTTAACTCTTTCCAAGGGAAGCGCCGCGCAGAGGGGGAGAGAAAGCATTTAAATATCTGACATGAAATTAAAAGGGCAGTGCCCCCCTGAGCACACAGCCCTGGTAATTCCAACCCATTGCCCACGCACCATCAATCATTTAGCCCAGTCAATTAAATGGCCATTATTCAAGGGGAAAAGTTCCGTGGTTTCAGCCACACTTCGCAGTCCCACAGAGGGGCTCCTCTGCTACACGACGTGTTTGGATGGCACAGGGATGGGCACACCACCATGGCCCTCCAGCCAGCCCAGAGGTCTTCCCAAGCACAAAGCACACAGCACAATCCTTCCAGAGCTCTCTTTTAAAGGACCCCCCCTCCCCCCAAGGACTATGCAGTGAAAGGACTGTGCCCCATTTATTACAAAGAAGTGCCAACAAATTACGCATTTCCTTTAAAAAACTGAATTGGGCATCACACGCACACACAAAAAACCACAATAAAAAGATCCCAACTGTTGCAGACACGGACTATCAAGACGATGGCAGTGCCCTTAGACAGCATTTCAAATACAGTTTATTAGCGTGTGATATGAAAAGGGTATTTTTATTGCATGATATAATGCAATGGGACCTTGGG